TCCACTGTGTATTCATAAGGGATTTGGTCTAGATTATACCTGACTAGCCCAGTGGTTTTTCTTACTTTCTTTAGTTTAAGTTTAGGTTTTGCTATAAGAAGCTGATGATCAGAGCCACAATTGGCTCCAAGGCTTGTTTTTGCTGACTGTATAGAGCTTCTCCATCTTTGGCTGCAGAGAATAGAATCAATTTGATTTCGGTATTGCCCATCTGGTAATTTTCATGTATAGAGTTGCCTCTTGTATTGTTGGAAAAGAGTGTTTGTGATGACCAGCTTGTTCTCTTGACAAAACTCTACAGTATTAGCCTTTGCCCTGCTTCGTTTTGAACTCCAAGGCCAAACTTCCCTGTTGTACCTTTTATCTCTTGACTCCCTACTTTAGCATTCCAGTCCCCTAGAATGAGAAGAACATCTTTCTTTGGTGTCAGTTCTAGAAGGTGTTGTAAGTCTTCATAAAATTGTTCAATTTCAGCCTCTTCAGCATTGGTGGTTGGTGCATAAATTTGGATTATTGTGATCTTGAAAGGTCTGCCTTGGATTTGTATTGAAATCATTCTATCATTTTTGAGATGGTATCCCAGTACAGCTTTTCCCACTCTTTTGTTGACTGTGAGGGCTACTCCATTCTTTCTATGGGATTTTTGCCCACAGTAGTAGACATGATAATCATCTGAATTGAATTCGCCCATTCCCATCCATTTTAGTTCACTGATGCCCAGGATGTCGATGTTTATTCTTGCCATCTCCTGTTTGACCACACCCAGCTTCCCAAGGTTCATAGATCTTACATTCCATCTTAATAAAATCTTAATATGTTACCTTAATAAAACCTTATTTGTTCTATTCAAACTGATTGGTTCTGAATTCAATATGTGAATGCTGGCTCTGTGAGGGGTGTTCTAAAAAGGCCTGAGTAATGGGGCAATATACAGTACATACCTAGGGACAGCTAGGTATGTATACAGTATTTGCAAAAAGAGAAGGGTGTGTGTGTGTACATGTGTATACATGTATCTCTCTCTCTCTCTCTCTCTCTCTCACACACACACACACACACGCACGCACGCACGCGAGTTCTCGCAGAACGGCTCTTGCATTTGACGGCAAACTAACCCGGAAGTTGGTAACCCCGAGAGATGCTCTTTCAACGTGAGTCTGGGGAAGGGGCGTTCCCACTGACGTCGAATGGACGTAAGGAAAGCGGAAATGAGGGCAATTCTTCACAGTCGCTAGAGCGGTGTCCGCTGCGCGGTGGGCTTTGTCATAACTCCAGAGCGAAGAGAGAAGCAGAGGGGAGGGGAGGGTGTGTTGGCGGGTCTCGTCGCTTCCGCACTCGCCCAGCTGGCGTGAAAACCAAGAAAGATGGAGCGAAGCCTAACGCCCGGAGGCGCCTCCGACTTGCTGCTCGCCGTACACGCGCAGTTCCGGGAGCGCCAGTTCGAGAGGGCGGAAGAACTGTACAGCCGCTACTTGGAGAACTGCGCATGCTCCGGCGGGAGGTGATTCTGGCGCTGCAGCGCGGCCGCTCGCGGTTAAGCGAAAGGACCGACCGCGCGGGGGGGTGGGGTTGTGGGGGCGTGGCGTCGAGATTGAGAGAGAGAGAGAGAGAGAGGGGCGGGCTTTGGAGGAAGGAGGAAAGGCTGGTTCTGGCAAAAGACCGGGAGCTGAGCTCTTGTTGGTTCGGGTTTT